CGTCCGAAAACCCAAATATCTGACCATGAAGTTGGCGGCAGGAACCGGCACAAGCCCGAGATGATTTGTCATCTGTGAAACAAGCTATACATGCGCGGCATCTCAGAAGAAGATCTCTGTGTATTTGGAGTGGGTTATAGTATACCTGAGCGCCCACTGCTGTGCTGTTCACACACCGATTCCTTTTTTTTTTTTTTTTTTTTTTTTTTTTTACGCGTTTTCCTGATTCTATTTCACCTGTTGGCTAAAATAATCATAAACTGGACTTTCGGAGCGCATGGCTGCGCATCCTCTCTTTTCAGCTAAGCACCCGTTAGTAAACAACCCCACTTCCCCAGCAACGCCTCATACTTACATAATGTCTCCGTAGGCTCCTCAAATCCTGAAATGCGCTAATCAACTTCTTATGTGTGTCTTCAAGACACGGTGGGATCTTTCCGGTTGATGGTGCGGCAATAACGGCAAACTCGTGGCCTCCGGGGCTCTCAAAAATAGGAGGGCCCTTCATCAATACGGTCTTTCTGTCTGCCTCTTGCCCTTGAACCTCTCCCATGTATGCCAGTTGTGCTTCGACCACGAGGTAGAATCTCTTGAGCTTTTGGAACCTGTTTGCAAACTCGCTCAGGCATTGGTAACAGACATCTCTCCCTCCCGGCGCCCTGTTGAACTCGTGATGAAACCTGCATTCATCTTGGGCCGTCCTCTGGAAGTACTTGACGGCGATATTGGCGGCGTTGAGGTACGACGCCGAGAAGATGGAATTGTTTCCCTTGGTCGACATCCAGTTCTGGTTGTGGTACACAAGATCCCACTCGAGGTCGATGGCAAGGTTGTTCATCTTGTGGAAGACGGCGATGCGTGATTTGCGGCATGGGTTGTATCGAGTAATTTCACCCCATTTCGGGGTGAGGAAGTTGCGTGCAAGGTAGCAAGCTTGTCGGAGATCGGGCATTGAAGGGCTCAACTTTCGGACATAGATATACGTTGTCCATCGTTCGACTGACTTGCGGTGCGCGTGATTCTTAAGTCGGGGGCACAGCCAGGGAACGAGGTGGACGCGGGGAGTCATTGAGGCTGCGACATACTCCCAGATCATGAGACGAATCTCATTGGGTAGTTTGGCGTACAGATCAGGGAAGGAGTAGCGAACCATGTTGAGGCTTGGTGGGGTTGACGTCGGTGGTGATGAGGGACGACGACCAAATCTTTTCAATGGATTCCTAAAATCGGCTTGGATTGAGTCCAAAGTGGCAGCAGTCGACTTGCAGCTTTTGAAGTCGCTCCTTCTTGCTGCAGCTGCAATGAGAGGAACTTTGGAAGGTGGGGCATGCCCCGGATCGATCAAACCTGGAAACTTTGAACTTTATTTTCACCGGTCGCCCCGTCATCCAATCGCGTTCCAATCTCTCGAAATTAGCCTTCTCTACTCTGGCTGTCGCTGCTCGCTATGTTCCCCCTCCACATTCGCGCCCTCGTCGTCGCTCTCGTACCCCTCTTCCTCTCCGGCTGTTTGCGCCTCGCCCTTACTCGCAGACTGAACAATCGCTCTCGCCGCAAGTACCTCCCGGGCCGCAATTAGGATTCCTTCATACTCGTCTTCTTCTTCTTCTTCTTCTTCTTCTTCTTCTTCTTCTTCATGCTCTCCTTCATCAGCATGCTTTTTTGCAACTTGCTCTCCATGACTAACAACAAGGACTATTTTGCCCCATTGTGCCACACTGATGCCCTCATTCTCTCCTTGAATAGGGTGCGCAACCATGTCATTAGAAAGCCCCATTCTCCCTGCGTCGGCCATGCTCTCGGGTGCCCTTAGCCAGTTCACGACCGGATTATCCGCCGGCTGTGGCGAGGTAGCATTGCGTTTCCTATTGGACGACGAGTCAGTGTCTGCACTTTTCTTAATCACCGGGAAGAGCTTGACTGATCAAGTCCTTGGATCCCACAACAAATACTCGTGCCTTTCACCACCATTCTCTTCAATGACCTTTCTCACCTCCTTCAAAATAATCTTCTTCTCCGAAGCCGGCAGGTAGGCTTCGTCCAACTCGTTCTGCAACCTCCTCCTCGGCCGCTTCTTGGGCTGCGCAGGTTCGGGAGCCCGTGCTTTTCGCTTGTCCCCAACTGCTGAGTCCTCCGTCCCCTCCGCATACAACGAATCATCCGACACATTCTCCTCCTCCTCCCTTGGCGTTCCATGCCTGACGGGGAAATGCACCCACTTCCTCTTCAAGACCCAGTCCTCCAACGTCCTCCTAAAATCTTCAATATCCCCGCCCTCTAGTCTGACATCAGGAGGCTGCGGCCAGTCGCCTTCCCTCATTGCCAAAATCTGCGTCGCCCGCGCTTTGGCATCACCGTGGGACAGGCTTGACAAGTCCAGGTCAGTGTACTCGTGAGTTATTTCCTCGTATATCGCCACGACGGACAGGTAGACGTCATGAAGGGCGTTCTCGGGGGTGATGGGCCTTGACAGCGCCAGCGAGTCAAGAACCAGTTCGTCAAACCTGATGGCCCAGTGCATGTTACCGAACCAGAACCCCTCGCCGACGAGGCCGTAAGTGAGGTTCAATGAGTCAATGAGCTCAATCAGGTGGGACAGGCAGGAAATTTTGAACGACGAGGCCGGTGCGGCTCTGTTGAATATCGGTTTGGGGCAGGTAATTGTTGAGAAGGAAGCCTACGACGACCTGACCTGTGTCATCGAGAACGGTGTGGGTGAGGTGTGCAACATTTGCATGGTACTGTAGCTGGGCGAGGGTTTGTATATCTTGGATGGTATTGGCGATGCCTTCGGAGGAAAAGTAGTATTTGAAGATGGCCAGGTGGCTCTCGTCGCTGCCGTCACTGCCGTCGTCATTGAAGGACACCAAGTCGATGCATCGGCCTAATCGTTCAACCTCAACGAGGTCAGATCTTTTGATCGTTTTGATATTGCAATCAAGGCCGAATTCTTTTGGTGTTGGATAGCTGAAGGAGTATGCAGGGCATTCCTTGGGATCTTTACTCGAGCTGACCAGCTCTCCGCCGTTTTTATTCGGATCGACCGTGAAGGCGCCAACTTGGAGGTCCAAAGAGTCGCAAACCCGAGGTAGGAACGTATTAACGCAGTGTTCCCAGTAATTCCGGATTCGAATACCTGAGTCGGGGTCGTCGGGATTAATGGGGGGATCGATTCGGGCAGGATGGTGAGGTTCAAGTACTGTCGGCGATCGTAGTCGATGAAGGGAAACATCAACAAATCCCGGGAGAAAGAGGTAAGGGAGAAGCGAGAATCGCTCCTTTGGATCGATCGGCATGATTTTGGTTTGTTGTTGTTGTTGTTTGGATGGAAATTCTTGAACGAGCTTTGGGGAAGAATTGTTCGTAGGTGGTAATTATTATCCAAGCTTCCCTCTTTCCTTTGTTCTCAAAACGTCAAAGCGGGTGGGACAGGGTCTCAGGTAAACAAAGGAGCTACCTTAGAGTTCCGTGCGCTGTAGGACCTCATTGTTTTCATTTTGGCGCAGAAAACAAAATCTAATTATGAAGCAAGAAGAAAAGAAAAAAACAAGGGAAAAAAACAAGGAAATAGGAACGATGATTTCCTGTGCACATGTTGCAGCATTCTCTTACCTCGATTCGCTTCAAGTTCCCAACCTCAACATCTACTTCCTTCCCTTCCCTTTGCCTTTTCCCTTCCCCTCTCTCGCCTCCCCCAATGTCAAAACCCTCCACAACTCCACGACGATATACCCATTCCCCGGCCCGGGCGTAACAATTCCAACCCCAACAACATTGTTCAGCCAGTAATACTTTGCATTTCCCGTCTCGAACTTCACTCGGGTATGCACGACCCCTTCCTCTGGCTGCTGCGGGCCGTTGGCCTCAACGTAGATGTCTACTCCGTCGGTAGTGTGTAATTGGTATCGAGCGTCCACGTAAAATGTTCCTGCGGCGCCGTCTCCTAGACTCCAGTCGCCGCCGTACGATGGGATGCTGGCTTTAGGGGTTGTTAGTTTGGTGGCTGGGAGGGAGGGAAGAGGGAGGGGATCTTGCATGCCTGAGAAAAGGGGGCCGGTGAATGAGCCGTTGGTGATGGGGAAGAAGTTGCGGCTTCCGCGAGGGCCAGGGCCAACGGGGACGGGAGGGGAGAGGGTGATGTTGGCGGTTCCGAGGTACGTGAGGGATGGTGGCGTTGGTGTGCTTGTCGCTCCGTGTGGGAGGCTGATGGCAAGGGTAGAGAAGATGGTGAGGATGGAGTACTTCATTTTGCCAGATGATCTTTTCTAAGGGGAGTCAGAAGTCTGATGAAGTTGGCAGTGACACGAATGGCTCTATTGATGTAGATCATGAGCAGACATCACACCTTTATATCTTCGAGAGTCAATCTCCGTTTCCTGTCGTCAACAGTCGAACCGTCATCTCAGCATTGCCAAGAACGACTTCGCCGTAGCCTTGAGATCAATGACAATTGGGTTCACGGCGACATCTCAGGCTACCTCCCCTGCTCAGACTCACAAAACTAGAGGTACAACGCTGGCATCCAACTTGAAAAGATGCTTCAAAGGCTTCACTGACAAATGCTGAGGCCATCAACAGTAATACTGTCTCAATTCGGCAAACTATTTGGATACGTTTCAATACAACCAACAGAGCCTGTTGGTTCCTTTCCAGCAACTGGAGCATTAATAATCCGCCAGTCACGATTTGAAATCGCTCTGTCATCCTTCCTCATCGTACCTGCCTGATGAAATCCCGAATTGTGCGCGTTCGTTCATTTTAATTCATGATGACTTGATCGTAGTGGAAGCAAACTCGGAAAATAAGGTGAATTCAGCCATGGGAAGCCTGGTGAAGGCTCTAAACTCCGGTTGTCACCTCGCTTATAAGCGATATCCGAACGACATTCCGTCTTTTCATCAGCACTGCAAGCCTTTCGCATCATACTGCAGTGGCAGAAAGACGTAAGACAAAATGTGGAGTCAGAATGCGGACCAAAAAAAGAAGAAAAATAAATCAGCTGGATGAATAGGGAATCGAACCCTAGACCTTTCGCAAGGTCGAATTGTGACTGCAAAGCGAACGCTCTACCAACTGAGCTATTCACCCGGACGAGTTTATGGCCACTGCTATGAATCTTGCCATTATCATCCACTGGAAGCTGGTCGCCGAACAGAAGGTTGGACGTGACATGTGCTTTGTGACCTTGTGGGTGGCTTAAGTCAAATTGGCTGGAATGGCGGAGATTTTGAGGCCGGCCATATCATCACGACACTGAATCGGAAAACAGGGTGACAAGGTCTTGGAGCCATAAATGCACCACAAGCACCAGGAGCACATGGGGGTTGCATATCTTACAGTGTTTCGCGCAGAAGAGTCAACATTTAAACATGGTTTCAAGAAGACATTTAAGGGATGCAGGTGTGGAGTTAAATGATGTCAAACTCTTTCTATACTGAGGAGGTGCCTCAGAAAGATACCAGACCAAGTATTGAACCATCAAGTAGCATGAGGCTTGCCCTTGGTCCGATCCGACACCAACAGCAAGTCCGGGTCTTCCTCCTTTGGTGGCGCACTGGCATCCACACTGTCAAGTTCTCCATCGCCATCCCCGAGCACCGTCCAGCCACCATCCCTCTCGACATCACCAAGCGGCTCAAAGTAAATCATATCCTTGGTGGTGGCGCCGTCGCAGTCCTTCTTGCCAAGAATGTAATCACAAAACGCGAGCCCTTGGTAACGACCATCATTATCAGGTTGCAACAGTTGATCGTGGAGATCTCCAACAGAAAGCGGTTTCTCATCCTGGAGGAGTGCCTTTTTCAACCAGTAGCATATTCTCTCCACGAACTCCAAAGGCCACGGCTTAGCTTCAGACGATGGAACACTGCGCTGGTCTTCCTCCGGTAAAGGCTTGAGCGCTGCTTCTGTCTGTTTCTGCTTGAACTCGTTTCCAGGCCCCTTAGTACTAGTACTGAAGAGTCCACGAGCTGATAAAACCATATTGACTCCTTCCTGTTTGTCCAGGACCTCACCAGGCATGTATTCACAAGGCATGACAATTAGGGAATTGTATGGGGCGTAGGCGAGTCGCTTCTCCAGCCAGTCGAACGGCATTTCCATCTTACCTCTGTGGTGATGTTAACTCGATACCAAACATATGCATGCATGTACCCAAAAGAGACATGAAACTTACCCGGGCTGTGTCAACCACAAACTCTTTTTGCCGTTGAAATTTTTTACCCTCGATTCTCCCTCATACACCAGAATAACCAAATCATTTCCGTTCCGGCGGTCAGAGTTGGAGAGGAGGTTGTTCCTCAAAAGATACTCCATCAGGAATCCATCTGGCTTGTACACGCCCTCCTCTCCTGGCAACCGGACATGGTGAACAGCGAATCTGAACTCACGCTGGAAGATAGATTTCAGCCAGTCTACGGCTTCAGATACTTCCGTCCGTCTGGTCAAGTCCCAGGACAAAAACAAAACCCGAACGGAATGGTAGAGTCCCTTTTTCTTGCGTTTGGTTGGTTTTGATGCTGAAGGTCCTTTGTCTTCGTCGTCCGAGTAGTGTACTGAGTCCTGGTCATCCTCGTCGCTCGAGTCGCCCGACTCGGGCTCCCACTGAGAAAGCTCCTCCTGCCAGGCTTGGGAGGTATGGGCCGCGTCGGCTCGGGCTGCTTCGCGGTTGAGTAGTCTCCGAGCCTTGGCAGAAAGCGAAGTCATGCTCACTGTTGCTTGGGTTATCACTTTCTGGCCTGGCCGGGTTTCACTCATGGCCTCGAAGGTGCTGAACGCGATATTCAGCGTGCGGTTCCTGGCTTCCCAATAGGGTCACTCAAAGACGGTCTGAGGGAAGCCATGCCTAATAGGAGTTATATAAGTGCCCTGAATGTTGATTCAAAGGATGACGGGATTTGTGATTGATGCCAGCAGTTTGGGGTGAATGATGTAAACAATCGCTGGCAGTGACTGGTTTTTCCATTGCAAGATTCATGACCAAATATTCACAGTGAAATAAATACCAAACTGTTTTAAAGTTTGTGGGCTTGTGGTGGCTGCAAATTTCTCACCGAGAGACTCGCAAAGTCCAATGAAGCCAAAGTTTGTGACAGTTTGGATGAGTTAAGGTCATCTGAGGAGGAATAAACTCGTGAAAAAAGAATCTTGATAAGGAAAGCATAGCTCAACCCAAGCCATTATCATCCAACCCATGTAGCAATCAATCAAGTATCTCAGAGACACACAACTTTGTAGAAGGTTATGAGCTCCTTTGGTGTTGATGTTCCATGTAGTAGCAAAGAAAGGTGGGTCTAAGAAAGATATGATTGCCCGTTTGGGCAATCCGAAGAGGTTTGCACCAATCACCTGGATTCTTGTCATTCCAAAATAAAACGTTGCTACGTATGAGGAGAGAGGGATAAAAAAGCGAAAATAATGGATGCTACGAATTTCTACCTGAATCAGTCGCCGTTATGGGCTGACGGTAAAGCAAAAGCACCAAAAAAAAAAAAAAAAAAAAAAAAAAAAAAAAAAAAAAAAACCGGGTTCGAATATCGTTCGTGAGAGGCGTCAGCGAGGCGCTTTGAGAGCCCTAATCTGGAGTTATCAACCACCTGGCAGACGACCTCAAAATGTATGAGTCCTTAAACAATCCAAAAAACCTGTTCTGAATAAAATGAAACCGAGTGATAAAGTGTGGATCCTGCCAACCAAACGGGCTGCGGGATGGTTTGATATGATGCCGCCGTGGAAGGCATCCACATCATGCCGCGTCCAAAGGGAAGGACCGAATCGTTTCCTGATTCCCCCAACCTAGAAATTCGAGGTCAAAAGTCTTGGTAAAGCGGCTCGATATTAATGGCAGACCGACTGGCGACTTCTCGAACACTCCTTCAATCATGATGCACTTATTGCACCCCACCCTCGCCTGCGACTTGACCAGGGGCACTTCATCTATCAGTGACGTAAGTTTCAGATTACAAAAGAAAAGTCAAAATTGCTCCCTTTTGAGTCTAGTTTTGCTGAATAAAGCTTTTTGGCGAAAAGCTTCCTTCCCCTTCCTCCTTCCTTCACCGATACTGGTGCGCTTGAAAGGAGCGAAAGGCTGCCCAAATGGGACGGGTGATCGTCCCGAATCCATGTCGCATGAATCGGCGACGGATTCCGGGCTCAAGCTGATTGTTCCATCCAACGTAACCCGGTTTGTGGGGTGCATGGGGCTTTGGACGGCTAAATACACGAAATGCCGGGTCATTTGATCCAATTCGCCCACCACCACCAAGCGAACCACCAAGCGATACTACCAAAAAGGTCGAAAAACGGACGCCACCATCCGAGCTTACCTTGCAGACTCAAACATCATGGCTTGGGCAGCCGGGCCGTTGGGTATTGCAACCTCCAGTCACCTGCCTCTTCCGGGTCTACGGGTTGCTCTGATGAGTATAAACAGATGCTGTCCGCCTCGGAGTCTCTTGACGGGAAGCAAGTCTCAACACCGGACAGGACTAGCAGCAAGTCAGCCAACCACAACCCTGGGACACCTTAGCCAAACCTCAACATGAAGGGACTCTTGAGCGCTGCCGCCTTGTCGCTGGCTGTCAGCCAGGTGTCGGGCCACTACATCTTCCAGCAGCTCACCGTGGGCGGCACCAAGCACGGCGTGTTCAAGTACATCCGCCAGAACAGCAACTACAACTCGCCCGTGACCGAGCTCAGCTCCAACGACCTCCGCTGCAACGAGGGAGGTGCCAGCGGCCGCAACACCGAGACCGTCAGCGTCCGCGCCGGCGACTCATTCACCTTCCACCTCGACACCCCCGTCTACCACCAAGGCCCCGTTTCCATCTACCTCTCCAAGGCCCCCGGCTCAGCAGCCGACTACGACGGCAGCGGCCAGTGGTTCAAGATCAAGGACTGGGGCCCGACCATCAGCGGCGGCTCCGCCAGCTGGACCCTCTCCGGCTCTTACACGGCCAACATCCCCGTCTGCATTCCCAACGGCGAGTACCTCCTCCGCATCCAGTCCCTCGGCATCCACAACCCATACCCCGCCGGAACCCCCCAGTTCTACATCTCCTGCGCTCAGATCAGCGTAACGGGCGGCGGCTCCACCAACCCATCCAACACCGCCCTCATCCCCGGCGCCTTCAAGGCTACCGACCCCGGCTACACGGCCAACATCTACTCCAACTTCAACAGCTACACCGTTCCCGGCCCTTCCGTCTTCTCTTGCGGCTCCAACGGTGGCGGCATCGAGGCTCCCGCCCCCACTACCACTCTTGTTACTTCCACCCGGCCGGCCACTTCTGCTGCTGCTCCTACTGCTACCTCGGTTCCCGGATGCACTCCGGTGGCCAAGTGGGGCCAATGCGGCGGCAATGGGTACTCTGGCTGCACCGCCTGCGCATCCGGGAGCGTCTGCAACACGGTTAACCAGTATTATCACCAATGCGTATAAGTTTGAGGGCTGTAGGGTTTTGGATGGGGTAGAGTGAGTGCACGCCGTGGGGCCTCATGGATGGGATACCAAAGTTTAAATACTTCTTTGTATATATTTATCAACATGTCAATATCAGTTCAACATTTAGCTACGCAAAGTATCGTGCCTTGCGTCCACGGTGAAAAAAAAAAATCTTGTAAAAAGATTTTGACGTATAAATACGAAGCATTGTGTGTGTTGAAGGGAGATATCTATGCCTATCAGAACAGTGCATGGGTATGTTGGATGAAGAAGTGGCTGTAAGGATACCTTATAAGGTAATAAGCTCCAGAAAAAATCGTCCGTAAGAAATATTGTCCCGTGGAGATATAAGATATAGTTCAAAAAGGATAAAGGAAAAGAAGAGATAATACATAGCACCGAATCCCCAATTTAATTGCCTTCCCAAGCCAGACGATAAAAGTCAAAGTTGAAAAGTCAGCAAAAACCATTGATGTTGATGATGTAGACGCGAGGCGGCGTCAGTGCGAGTTTGGTTAAGAAAACCATAGATAAGGGCTTCTTGATCAAGCAAGCAGCACATAAGTTGAAATCGACGGGTCAGGGGTTGCAGCCACTTTAAAGTCATCGCCCTTTCGTTAGCATTAATCATCCATGACTATAAAAC